GTGGAGGAGGCGTTAAGAAGACTGAGAAACTGAATGATTTCAATGTGTCTTTGTTTTTGATTTTTATCCTTTGATTCAGTGTAAATAATTTTTGTGAAAGACTGAAAGAAATAATAATACTGTGAAACAAAGTGTCATTCTGGTTTGTCTGTCTCTTTGCCTGTCTTTCCTTTCATTTTTCTTTTCTTTGCTCATCTTATTTCTTCTTCTACTTCACATGCTCATGCTCTTAGTCAATAGTTCTGTGACAATATATATATAACAGTTTGTCACAGCCCCTCGTTTGTTGTCCTCTTCTCTCTCTCTGCCTACGGTTTACCGGGGAGTTCTGGTTGTGACGATATATATATATAGCTCATTCGTTTGGTACACCCACAAACTGTTATCTCACATACGGTTATTAAAATAAAAATAAAAAAAACACATATATTGTCACAATTTCTCACCAAGTAACCCCCAGCGAAAACGTAGGCCGAAACTCTCAGGGGAAAAAACAAGTTTGCCGGTCTTCATGTAGTCTGCCTCTCCGCCTCTGCGTAATGTGTCCCAGGAAGAAGTCCAGGTCAGGTTGTTGTAGAGGTTGGATGCTAGACATTTGACATTCACCTTGGGTCGTCGGCCATTTGGTAGTCCAGATGGTCTGTAGAGGTGTGCGGTATTTCTCTCCGTGGCGCACCCCTGCTCCCGCAATCCTACCTCATTAGTGCTTACCCCTTAGAAAATTATCACCCACCCATCATCATCTGTATGGGGGGGAGGGGGGGTCACCTGACCAGACACTGGCTGTAGGCACCAGGGCTGAGCAGGACCTACCCAGCTTAGGCCTGATGGAAGCACTACAGTAGAGAAGAGGAGACAGTGCAACTGACTCAACTGGACACACAACCGTGTATTAACACGGCGAACGCTGTGTGATAACCAATCCCGAAAGAATTATTGCTCGCCGAAGGATACAACAACAGAAGAGCCGGAGCCAGCCATAGCAAGGCTATGGCGAACGCTACTGTTACTTGCTGAAAAAAGAGTGAAGCACGGAGAACAGAGCGCAGTTGGCATCCCCTACTAGTTTCGGCCGTTGCCAGCGGCCTCATCAGGGGGAATCGAGATGGTCTGAAGAAACTACAGTGCCTAATTCTTTAAATACTGGTTCACCGACTCCTATACCCGCATGCTACGGTATCCGACCTGCGATAACCCTTCCATGTCATAACACAGTCTTTCCTGCGTTTCTTAGTCCGTGCCGTGAGCCCTTCTCCATTCCGAGGCTCCGGCAGCAGATCCCCGCCTGTGCGGCTGCTATCAGATAACCCGTTATAGGTCTACCCGGTAGTCCGCTAATGCTTCCAGACTCGGGTAGTACATCCTACTCCCACGTTTCCGCAACACTTGGCTGGCTCCCGCGCGCTACTATCATATAAGACAGACCCTGGAAGATCCGGAGAAATACCAGATCCGATATCTGCGGTCTAAGTACAAAAATCCGACAGACCAAAATCCCATGACCAAAATCTTAAAAATAAAACGATTAAATAACGTGGACTGTCCTCGTTTTTTTATTCACTCACTCCTCTCACCCGCCTTTCACCCTTTTTTTCCTTTCATACCCCTCTTAACCCCCGTGCGACCTCACTCCTAAGAACTAGGCCCAGTGCCTGAAGTTTAGTCCCCCTGTATCACTCTTACCGCCGCTTCTTGCCATACTACCTGAAGCACTACAGTCGGACGAGCTTCTGTTGTATGGGTATGGGAGCTTCGAGCGCTTGGCGTCGATGTTCTTCTACTACAAGTCCCCCAGGTGGACCCATTCCTGTCCCCCAAACCATTTTGGACCCATTCCTGTCCCCCAAACCATTTTGATTCCTTGTTCTGCTCGTACCTTGTGTTGTATTGTCCGTTATGTGTACTGCTGTGATTGTAATTGCAAGCCGCTTTTGGGGAAAAAACAAAACAAAACAAAATGCAAGCCGGCTGGTGCATATGCCTTATCCTCCCCCCCCTTATAAAAAGGCTTTGCATCTGCCAAAATAAATAAAAGTTGAAATCCCAGCTAGCGCTATGCTTTTTTTTTTTTTTTTTTTTTTCGTAGCGCCACGGAGAGATTACACGCCACAAAACGGTAGCTGTGTCAAGGACCTGGAAGAGTCAAACAAGGCATGTGATGCTGATGATGATGAATTGATGATGATGATGATGATGATGATGATGATGATGATGAATGGATGAGATTGGATAGGTGGTGTTGGTGCAGTGTGATGTAGTCATGATGATGGGAAGGTTTTGATGAGAGGGATGTTGACGAGGATGTGTGGCAACCTGTGGTTGGTTGATGGGTTGGGGGGGGGGGGGTGCGAGCAGGTGTTCGAGTGGCTTCAGGTTAGTGGAGGTCCTCCGCCGGACACACGGTTATGGACAGCGATGATGACGGTATTGAGCAGAGCAGGGCAGATTGAGGAAGCAGCACGGTTGTTTGAGAACATGCAACGGTCGGGGGTGTACGTTGATTTGTTCGTGTACAGTGCCATAATCAATGGTTACGCAAAGCTTGGGCGTGGGGAGGAGGCCTTGGAGCTGCTACAGCAGATGAAGGAGGCAAGGCTGCAGCCTGACCTGATCATTTACAGCGCAGTGCTGAATGCCTGCGCAAAGGGCGGGTTAGAGATAGAGAGGATTCTGGATGTATATGCGGGAATGAGGAGGGAGGGAATAGAACCAGACATGATTTTGTACAGTACGATAGTTAGTGCGTGCCGAAATCAAGGCAGGTGTGACGACGCCCGCGAGGTGTTCGAGCAGATTGAGAGGGCGGGTTTGCGGCCAGACCTCAAGGCTTACAATGCGCTCATTGATGCCTATGGACGGGAAGGGCGTTGGGCGGAGGCTGAAGTGATTGCCAAGAGGATGGAAGCAGCAGGTCATCTGCCCAATGTGTGGACGTACAGTGCGCTGATCAATGCATACGGACGCGATGGGCAGTATGCCAAGGCTATTGACGTGCTCGACGCCATGGACGCTATGAGGTGCAAACCAGACTCCATGGTCTACACCACGCTTCTCGATGTTCTCGCCAAAGGTGGGAGGTAAGTCGCTGCTTCTCCTCCCCACATCTTCTCCACCCCCTCACGTGTATGTGACTGTGCATGTGTGTGTGTGTGTGTGTGTGTGTGTGTGTGTGTGTGTGTGTGTGTGTGTGTGTGTGTGTGTGTTGGGTGGGTGGGTGGGGGGGTGGTTGTGTGTGTGTGTGTGTGTGTGTGTGTGTGTGTGTGTGTGTGTGTGTGTGTGTGTGTGTGGGGGGGGTGGGGGGGGGGGTGTGTGTGTGTGTGTGTGTGTGTGTGTGTGGTTGGTTTAAACCATCAGTACCTGGGAGGAGGACCGAAAAATATATAAGTGGGCAGGGTACAGGGGTGTGTAAACCACCACCACTTGGGAGGGGGCGTTTTTTTTTTTTTTTTTTTTTTTTTTTTTTTGGAGGGGGGCTCAGGTGGCGTTTTACCTGAAGTGGGGGCCAAAATAGGCTTGGATCGAAATTCAAAAAACAATAAAATATATCAGTAGTTAGGGTACGGGTGGTTTAAACGAACACCCCTTGAACAAAAAAAAACAAAACAAATAAACGAACAAAAAACGAAGAAAAAACGAAGAAAAAACGAACACCCTTGTTTGGTAGGTATTTCTCTGCATGCCCACGTGGTACATTTTTGTCAGGCTGAGGCCGGTTACTCCACTAACATACAGTTAAGGACTGGAGCCTGGTGCACTGGCGTCTTCAGCCCAATAGAACGCATGGTCCTTATATAGCTGTATTTGTACTATTTGGGACAAGTTTCAGTCTAGGTACAGTGATAATGACCGTATGTTTTTGTATTTGGTCACCCTAATAGAGCGTACGGTCCTTATAGCTGTATTCGGGGCAAGTTTCAGTCTAGGTTCAGTGATAATGCCCGTATGTTGTATTTGTGCAAGACCGTAGGCTGAGGCCTGTGTCCCACTAACGCACTTTGTTTTTCTTTTTTTTGAAGTTTTTTTTCTTTTCTTTCTGCAAGGAAAATGAACGGAAGCGAGATGACAATATTCAGATTGCACAATCACATTGAAAGCCAAATCGTAACACAGTGTTCAGAAAAGTAGCGTTGCACCAATATAACACCAATGGAGAATAGTAGCACTGAAAGCCAATGTCAATGAGAGCTTGCTCTCGCCACCACCAACATATGTATCCAGCCTCGTATCTCCCTATCTGGCGCTCGGCGCCCAGCCTACTCCCTACACAGCTACTACTAGCCTTCTAATTGACAATGCAACTGTTGACGTCAGCAGCACCCGAAGTACTTGAAGATGTCGCCGATGCAGAACCATCGCCAATACCAGGTATGTGCCCTCACATCGTCATCATCATCATCCTTCTCTCTTTCCCCTGACTCTCTCCCACGTCTTCCCTACACCCGAAGGCCACCCCCCTGCGCCTCACTGTACATCCAACCCCTGCCAGCTATGGAGGCTGGGCTATGGCGCTGCCCTCAGCAGCGCCCTTCTTCCCTGCACGACGTCACGTGCTGCACCTCGCCTCTCAGCACCAGCAGCAGCCCACGAGCCTTTGCTCCAGCAGCGCTGCCGCTAGCATGCGAGTGCCTGAATGAGGCTGAGAGTGGCGAGCTCTTTCCTATATGGAAAGAGCCTGCCTGCTTCGCAGCCTGGCTGGACTGGGCCTGGGCCCAGAAGCTTCCCGTAGGCCCCAGGATGCTGCGTGCTATTTTGCAGCAACTGGGCCTCTTTCGGCTGGGCCTCCCAACTG